TTCTGAATCAACATTGAAAACTGATTTAGAAAAGATTTTCAATTCCTTTCCGAGGTATACCTCAGAAAGGAATTGAAAATCTTTTCTAAATCAGTTTTCAATGTTGATTCAGAAAATATAGTTCGAACCTTCCATCTTACAATACAAGCTCAAAAAGTCAATTTCATCATACAGGACGGTTTGGGGTATTTTTGAGGTCCTCTCAGTAATTTGAGTTTTTCTCCATGAAGAAATGGCTTTTGGGGACTCGGAAGGTGTTATTCGTAATTAGCTCGTTAAGCTGAATCTGAATATACATAATAATGCCAAAAAAAAAAGTTTCACTTGAAGTTTGGATTACGTGCATCCTAAATACAATTTTTTTCACATACAAACAAACACGTGTATGAAGTTGTATAAAAATACATCTTCTGATACTGTTGTAGAATATAGTTTCATAAAGCCTAGTTTTATGTCATAAAGATTCTGGATGTCATAGGCATATTGTTTTACTTGAAATTAAAAAACAACAACAACGTCAAACATCAAACGTATATGATAGTTTTATTTTACAGTTAATATAAGAAAAATAATTCATTCAATCTATTTGAAATGTATAAAATTCTAATTATAACTAGAAGATAGAAAACTGATTATGCAGATGTTTTATATTACAATTAACAAAAGAATAAAACTGATTTTCTTTATTAGAAGATTGACTATTTTCAATTTTTTCAATATTTTCTCGTTCGTTTTCGCATGTTGTAAGAAAGCACAGTTTTATCGAGAAATTTGAAATTTATTATTCTTTATAAAAGTTGTTCGCTCTACACCATATAGCAATCAATAAAACAGTGGTGCAGTTGAATATGTGGAGACAATAATTTACAAGTGAAGTTTTATTTTGTTTTTTATTTTTATTATTTTTTTTCACTGTTACTTGTTAATATTAAACTTATTTTGTAATTAATAATTTGTGATATTTATGGATAATAATTTGAGTAAAAATTTAGTTGAGATAACAGCAATTTTAAACTTTTATTTGTTTGACTTTTAGATATTTATTTGATAATGTTTCGACAGTTTTACTGTCATTTTCAAGACAGTCTTGAAAAGTTTAAAGCTGCTGTTACTTCAATTGAATTTTTTTTTATTTTTTAATTATTATTTAATTTTACTAGTATAAAGCGATGAATGATAATATGATTTTTTTTTTAATGATTAGAATTTCTGTACACACACGATCTTCGAATAACTAAGGAAAATGTGAGTCATGGATGATTTTGAGATGAGTGTCAAACGTGAGTAAGGTAATGGAAAGAATAGTTTTTAATCGTTTGGTAAATCATTTAAACAAGAATGACGTTTTTTATTCTTCACAGTTCGGCTTTTAAACAAAATCATCGATAGTCGATGCATTGATTTACATTTCTCATAATATTCGTTTACTTATAGATAAGAATATAAAAGTAGCTTGAATCTCTTTCGATATGAAGGAAGCTTTTGATCGTGTCTACCACAAGTTATTAATGAACAAACTGTCCCATACTAGAATATCGAGCGATCTATTACAATGGTTTACATCATATTTAGAGAATTGTGTGCAACGAGTCAGACTTGATAAGATATTTTTTGATTTTGTTGCTATCATCTCAAGAGTCCCACAAGGTTCCATCCTGGGACCTTTGTTGTTCATTAACTTCATCAATGACATAACACGTAACTTAACATCATCGACAGTGAACTCATTGTTCGTTGATGATCTTTTTATGTGTATGCCAATAGAGAAAGATGATGACATGTTCCTTGTTAGAACAGAAATCGGAAAAATTCATAATTGATGCCAAGAAAACTTGATGGAACTGAACATTGATAAATGTCAATGGCTTCTTTTTCCCTCTTCACTTGCTTATTTGTCGCGTTTAGTACTTAGATTGGTCGATATACCATTATCTTGTGTAACTACAGTCAAACTACTTGGTGTCACATGATCTGAAATGGCATTGAGAACTTGACGAATAAATTAGAATTAAAATTAGATATTTCTTTTGAACGTGTAACGGATTTTTCTAAGTTATTCAGGGTAACGTTTGTCATGATATTTTGTTTTTTAGACTTTTAACTGCATGGCAATGTTAAATGTTGTTGTCAGTGATGATGAGGAGTCCCTAGCTCAAAGCCTGGGTTACAAAGTTGAGACATTAATTACTGAATTACTATATTCTTCCCAGTCGTCTACAAAAAGCTATGTCACAATTGGTCTATCTGGTGGCAGTTTAATCAAAATTTTATCAAACATTCTCCCCTATCTTGCTCTTCCATGGGCTAAAATACGATTTTTCTTTGTTGATGAACGTTTTGTACAATTTACATCCGAAGATTCAACTTATCACTTGTATAATAAACTATTTCGACAATTGCCATTAACAGAGAAGAATATTTGTAAAATAAATCCACAATTAGAGAATGTTGAACAATGTGCCAAAGATTACGAACAAAAATTAAAAGAGTTATTAAATGAAGACGAAGATCAAACGTTTGACATTTTATTGTTGGGTAAGTAAAAATTCGAATATTTTATTGACTCATTCATTCATTTATAATTCTTTATTATCAAAAACAGATAACAGGCAGTAACAAAGAGAACAATTAATGTACGCTGTAAGCGTTACACCTTTAGCACAGAGTGAAAGATGGTACAAGGGACAGAGTATGAGTTTATTGCAGGTATATCAGTAGAGGCGGATTAGAGAAAGGTTGAACAACATAAAAAGAGATTTATATTTTAACTGTTCTGCCTACTAATATGATCTTGGAGGTTAACATCGAATTGAGCAGCAGGTTTACTATCAACCACAGAAAGAGAGACAGTTTGTTCCATTCTTTAGCAGTTCTTACAAGTAACGCAGCAACAAACAACGATTTTATGAGCAAAGATGACATTGAGTTGCGGAGTCTGAGAATTCCGTTGGGAGTGTCGGTTAAGGGCCCCCCTCAGAAATGGTAATTTTCGGTCAAAACATCGGTTTTGAGATAAGCATATGGAAAGGTAGCCTGAAGTGTCTAATTTCAGAATCTGTATTGCTTTTGGTTACAAAATTGTTTTTTCGAGAATTTTGAGCAAGTTTTCTAAGAGCCTCGAAAAACTGGGTCTTCAAATAATAGTTTTTTCCTGGATACTTCCGCAATTAAAATTTTTCTGAACACACAGATTTGTAGAGCAGACGTTTCTGATCAAAATAAGACCTCGCGCAGCTCTATATGACCTTACATCAAAAAGTTACAGACATTTTCCTAGAAGTCATAAAACTGAGCATTTTATACAGCGTTTAATGCAGCGTTTTCTCTACATGGAAGTTATAGCTGAAGTGTGTTTCAAGATTTTGAACAGCGGTTTGTCGTAGAGAGTTCATTCTTTTTGTGTTTAAAAGAGGAAAAGAAAGTAAATCGACTCACAAGCGCCGATTTTTAAATTAGGTCCTAATTTTTTATCAAATAGAGGATTTTTAGAAAATCCGGAAAGCTTTTTCGGGTTTTGGAGGTTGTTGGTTACCTGGAAAACCAATAAAGGCTTAATTAAAAAATCGGCTCCTGTCAGTCCATGCAGTTAGGTATCTAGTTTAAAATACAACAAACCCGAACTCTCCATCTTGAAGTATATTAAAAAAATCTTGGGACACACTTCAGGGTCCTTTTTGAACCTTGATCTCTGGAAAACTCCTGAACGGTAAGACTTGTAGACAAAAAAATTTTTCATTCCCGTAACGCATTATGCCTAATATTTATGGAAAGTTTCGTCGAAATCAGATGTACGGTGTCGGAGATAATTTCTGAGGGGGGACCCCTTAACAGATGATATCACCAGATCAAAACGAAAGAGAAAGCCGAATGATTTTTCATAGGTAATTTAAACATGGTAGCTTGCGTCTATATGACAAAGATTCCAAGTCGAAACTCTCTTTTAATACAGCACATGAAAAATGAAATAGATGAACGAGTAATTATTTAATAACATTACTTAGATACTTTAATTCTGTTCTTAGGTATAGGTCCCGATGGTCATACAGCTAGTCTTTTTCCAAATCATTCCGTCTTGAACGTCAGTGATTGCTTAGTGACGTATGTCAAAGATAGTCCTAAACCACCTTCGGAACGTGTTACATTAACCATGTCTACCATAAACAAATCAAAATATATCTTAATTTGTGTCACTGGTGGATCAAAAGCTCAAATTGTAAAGGAAGTAATTAAAGATAAAAATAATCAATATCCAATTGGACAAGTACGGGAAAAAAATGTATTCTGGTATTTAGATCAGGAAGCAGCAAGTCAAATATAGCTTTGCTCATGTCTTTTGAAACTATATGGACTTATTTGTCAAATGTCACACCTCTTTTATCGTTGTTCTTGTTTATCTTAGCTTTCTGAATCTCACAAGTATGTTTGAATAAATGTTTGTTCTATTTTTTCACAATTGTAAACAGTTTCTGTATCTCGATGTTTCTTCGTACAACTAAATAAAACTTAGAATTAATTTTTAAAAATATACCGAGGAAAATCCTCCATTCAAAACATTAATATTGATATATGTGTGCGATTTACGTTGATATTGTACCGTTGATATCCGAGAGTAAAAAGCAATAACTTTTTTTCTACTACCAAATCATTTTGAATTCGCTTTTATTTTATTTGTCTAAAAAAACGTTTGCCTACTACCATTAAGGGCAACAGCTCTTTAGCTGCTTTTGTTACTGCGATATAATAGTTACATTATCGCACGTCAAGATTTTTTGTGCCCTCTTCAGTTGAAAAATGAATTTTTTCCAAAGACGAAATGAGTTCTAACTCTTTTTCTTAGGAATTATTTGTAGCTGAAGAGTAACACTCTCGAAATATATAAATGAATTAACGAATTAATTCAATTTTCTATGGAAATAAATCAAAATATTGTTGTTAGAGACACTTTGGTCTTTTTCTGTCCTGTGAGATTGAATCTCGCATATCTCAGCTAAAACTAAACGGAATCTTCTTAATTTTATTGTCGATGCATGAAAAAAAATAGCAGTAAAACACTGATATTATGAAAACAATCAATAAAAACTATTCATTTTTTTATGTTCAATTATTATTATTATTATTATAAGACTAGCCTACTATCGGCGACAAAATTCAAGGCACTCGGTTGTTTTTCAAATAACTCCAAAACGATAAAAGATGGGGGAACATCAACAGTCGAAAGAAGACAGTTTAACCTACGTTTTCATAAGCAAAACCCTTTTCCGAAACCATTCGGAAGATCGATTATCTAGGAGATCTTTGGAAAAGCATTTCGGATCTTTCGGGAAACTGAGATAGCATTCTATAAGTTTTTTTTCATAGATAGATAGTTCAAAGTGTCCTCTTCAAAATGCGAGCTAAGCGAACGCTTAAGTTTTCCCGGGTTAGGCATGGCATCGGATTTCCTGAGGATTCCAGAATCAATATTAATTAGGTGTGATAATTCCGAAAATAATGGAAACATAGGTAATCAACCACGCTGAATCTCGTGACAAGTTTTGCCTTCTCAGTAAACCTCCAAAAACCTAGTGAAAACCTATATTAGATAGAATAACATATTTTTGCCTATTTTCGAATATAATTAAAAAATTCATAAGTAGTCAAGATCCATCGAAATTATGGCAGAATATCAATATGTACTCTATTTTATCTGCTCAATACTGTACAGTTCATTAAAAGCTTTAAAAATCAACAGAAAATACTTTTGTTTTGAAAAGGTTTTCTCGAAATCTTCCAAAGCACAGGAATGTATTTTACTATTCTCAAGTA